CGTTTTTGTTTTCTTTCCATGTCTCGTCATTTCTGTAAATTACTGTCGTGTACCTTTCTTTTCTGTCAATACTTGATAATAGAAAAAAAAACAAAGAGCACACACAGACACATTGAATAGTTTTCTGTACTTTATATTGATAGCGACAATGAGACACAAGAGAATGTCAATGCACTAGTCAACTCTTCTTGAAGCATCTAGTGGCGTAGCCAGAATTTTGCTGATGTCGGGGCTGAGCCCTTTATAGCCAACAATGTGTCTTTGAAACGAAGGTTCACTATTTCAAGATAAAATTGTTAATCTGCCCATATATCATATACATCTATTCAGTTGTTCATGAAAACAGAAAAACCACAAAAACATCATAATGAAGCTATTTTAGCATAATTCTCCTGTTCGGATGACGCTGACTGAAAATTGCAAAGAGAAAAAACTTATATAAATGTTTTGCTCTTATAAATGTTGGAGTAATAAACATGCATTTCACTCACTTATATCGACAAAACTGGAGAAACGATTTAATCCTGATAAATTGTACTGTTTTAACGCAATAAAATTTCATTGAAAGTGTAATCCCTGTTAAATCTTATTGCCAGCTAATCCTTTCAAATATCATTCGATCGTTTAGTTGCCTAGTCATTAAATGACCGATTAGCTGAATGTTGATCTTGTGTTTCTTGCTCGTAGATACATGGATTCATCCTATCCAAACAACATATTTACATCGTGAATCATACAAAGGCGATGTAATTTATCAAATGTTGAAAATTGGAAAATATACTGGGTGGTGATTTTGAGAGTATTCGCCAAAATTTGCCCTATTTGAAAGAATTAGGTATTACAGCTTTATGGATATCAGCACCATATGATAATAATAATAAAAAAGTTGTCTATAATGATGTGCCCAATACAGCTTATCATGGTTATTGGGCTAGAGATTTCAAGCGACCAGAGGAACATTTTGGTACTTGGGGTGATTTTGATGCTCTCGTGCATGATGCACATTCACTTGATCTAAAAATTATTATAGACTGGGCACCGAATCATACAGGTCCTGCTGATCCATTAGATACATCATTTGCTGAACGTGGTGTTCTTTATGATAATGGTCGTTTTGTCGGTGACTATGTCAATGATACACGTCGTTTATTTCATGACAATGGAGGTATTGTCGACTGGAATGATCGTTATGAAAGCAAATACATGAACATTGCTGACTTAGCTGATTTGGTTCAAACAAATGCAGAAGTTCATCATTTGTTACGTGATTCATTAGATCTATGGCACAACACGATATCGATGGCATTCGTCTAGATGCTATCAAACATATGACGTGCGGATGGCAAACTAGTCTTGCTGATCAAGTAAATTCTAGTCCGACGCCAATGTTCATTTTTGGTGAATGGTATATGGGCAATTTTGATAATCCTCTATTGAATGAAGCATTACGCTTTTCCAATCAATCAGGTATTTCTCAACTGAATTTTTTACTTAATCGAGCACTACGTGATGTATTTATATACAACCATTCATTCCATGAACTAAATTCAGTTATCAATCGTTTATCGAAAGATTATGAACATGCTGGACATAACATGGTAACATTTATTGATAATCATGATATGGCAAGATTTTTAACAGAAAATAATGATCGTCAAGCATTACATCAAGCACTCGTTTTTCTTTTTGCACAAAGAGGTACACCATGTGTCTACTATGGCCTAGAGCAGTATTTGCATGAAGATATGAATGGTGGAAGTGATCCATGGAACCGTCCAATGATGCCCAGAGGTGGATTTGATAGAAAAAGTGAAGCATTTCAACTGATCAAACGATTGGCACAGTTGAAACAAACATTACCGGCTCTCAAATGGGGTGACTATCGAGCTATACATGTATCAGATGATGTTCTTGTCTATGAAAGATAGTTCGGATGAGTTGTCTGGTCTTTATCTTAGATTTCAACTTGGAATTTTACATATAATAAATAAATGAATATTAACGAGTGTCCTACAATAAATTAGCCTCTTCCTATTTTGACTATAACTTTTTTTTATTTTCAACCGTTAGACCTGATTGTTTTTCCGAAAGCTGCGCCGTCAAATTCTTTGCAAAACATATGTTGAAGGTTTTATTCGAAAATGGAAAACTGGAAAGCTACACGAAGAATATTCAGTAGCACCTGTGTCGTCGACTTTTCGACCAATAACACGATCTTGACCGGACTTTACTTTTTGACATGTTGAGAGATGGACAATTACCTACTTTGCAGCTGTTGAAAAGCCGTACTTTTGTTTTTAACTAGATTTTTTTCATACTACAACCAGTTGAACGAGAATCTGTTTTCTTTTGACACTTTTTCACAAAAATTATCATATTTTGAACCGCAGTTTCGCACAACTTCAAAAAACTCTGAGATTTATTGAAAAACAAAGTCTTTTGGGATAGGATTTATTTTATTTTACAGAGTAATTTCATGTCCGTTATATCCTGATATAAGATGTTAAATAGCGTTGTTCCTTTCAATATACCATGTGAAAGAAGAGAATGTATTTCCATGTCGTCCGTTGAATTTCAATCAAGTTCTTCTTCGTATTGTAAGGCTAGGTATGGACGAAACCTTTTGCATATCATGAGAAAGAGCGCACTTCGCAGCTTCAGAAAAACTCATTGTGATGTGTTTTGACATATTTATAAGCGTTCAAAATCATCGTTTAGATGTGCTGAAAAGTACTTTGGAAAGTTGAAGACTTCGATTTTCGTAATCTTTTTTGTGTAGTTTTTCACTTATCTATTTTGGAATAAAACCCTCAACACGTTTTTTATAGAAAATTTCAAGGCGTATCTTTTAGAAAAACAATCAGGTCTAACTAATGAAAATAAAAAAAGTTAGAGTGAGAATACGAAGTGGCTAATTTATTATGGGACACCCGTTATTCTCATCTATGTTTAATAGTTTGCCGTTTTTTGTACAGGTCATCGGTCGTTCTTGTTGCTATTAATAAATCCAGACGACCAGTTCAGCTATCTTCCTTAATGACTTCTCTTCCAGCTGGTATTCATTCAAATCGTCTTGACGATACACTCCATTCACGCAATCGGATCAATATTAGTCTAACTGGTTCCATTACTTATAATCTCTTTCTTGATGATCAATCATCTGTTATTTGGTCCTATAATGGTATTCAACTGTCTCCTAGACCTATGCTTGGTAGTGTTGCGCCAATTCAAGTTCGATCTGGCAATAAAATTGCTCTTGAGGGTTCTAATTTTGGTACAGTAAAACGAGATGGCCAAGTTCATTTCGGTGATAGACTTGCTCCCATTATCAGTTGGTCTAATACTCGTATTGTAGCCACTGTTCCATCTGATGCTCCACCCCGCATTACTGATATCACTGTTCGTACATCTTATTCTACCTATAATCCTTACTCAATTCGTATTCTATCAGGTATTCAGATACCTGTTACATTCACGTACAACAATATATTCATTAATAATCGGTATACTGAAAATATCTATCTAACAGGCAATGTATTTGAATTAGGTCAATGATCAACAGATTCTAAAATAGGTGAAGGACCTATGTATCATAGCAATAGTAATGGTACTAATTCGATGAAATGGTTCTTTACAATGAACTTGCCCGGTTGTCAAACAGTAGAATTTCGCTATTTTATTATGAACAATCAAACGAACAATGTCGAATGGGCGCCAATCAATATTCATCATCAATACACGGTACCATGCGCTGGTCTCGGCCAAGTCAACGTTCTAGTTAATCAGTGAAACTAGGAACATGCTCTCTCTAGATAGTTTTAAACTTTTGTTTATTTCGTTTGATTTGTTAAAAACAAGAAAAAGGCCAAGAACAGGCACAATAACGAGAAAATAGAGATTGATGATATGCTGGAATAAGGGAGATACAATAATTGAGTAAGGTAAGTAAATGTCGTCTATGACAATATCAGATGGGTTGTACAATGTTATGAAGGATTAAAATTGGATTTAACGAAATGATCAAACCATAGTATGGAGACGAGGGACAAGTAGAACGGATTACTATCAAAATAACGACACAGACTAGGGTAACGACGACTTTCAAATAAAGAAAAAAGAAAACAACAGCAGACTTCGGCACGAGAAGTACAATATTCATGAAAAAAAGAAGATACACCGAGAACATCCGTGCAAAACACGACAAACCAAATAAAGGATTCTCCGGTGAATTGTTACGATATTTGAAAACAAAAATCTACACTTCCCTGCATCAATGAGTCTTTTCAATGAACTTTTGACGATCCAATTCTTTGCAATAGCAATAAGCTTGTGTTTGAAGTGATAAATACACATTTTCAATATGTCGTTTTCTTTTTTCCTCGATGCAATAATAATGTTTTACGATATTCTCTATGTCGTCTTCTTCATTAGTTCTTTTTTTTCCTCTTCTACTTTGATTCTTGCTGTTTTATTTTAGCATCATTGAGCAATGAAAAAAAATGATTTTATTTATTGTTTGGAATCAAATAATCGAACGGGCAATCAACATGATATTATGAATTCTTGTGCTATATTAGGTGGATATCCGATCTATGCATACATATTTGTGATCAGCATCTGATGTGCTATAAGACTAGCCGGGAATTATTTGATTATCTGATGAAAACTTTTTGTAGAAATTGCCGTACCCCTCCCTCCAGGGGTCTAGAGGGGTCGAAAATTTGTTGTGGAGCTTCGAAAGAAATAAGTGGCCTATTCGACTTTGGGTCATGTCCTAATGCACATCAACTAGATACCTTTGATCTAGTGTGAGACTGATAATGATACATCCTTGATATTTACACGGTTCGGTATCATGACCCTTTCAATCGACATCTTGAGTTGGAGTGAACCGCACATATCACATCTTGTAGAGCAAGTCTTCCTCTATCAAAACCACATATGAGCCACATTCTCAAGTATCCGTATACAAAAACCGCGATCAACCACTTTTCAGTCAACAATGGAGTGAATCGATGACTCATTGTGGCAAACTTTTTCTCAAATATGATTTTCTGCCAAAATGACACTGTTTCTGGTCATTTCTGCTACGCTGATTTTGAATATCGTATCAGAATCGGTGCTTGACTCCAAGGTCGAAAAAGTGTGTGGGTATGGATGAAGACAAGACTCACAACCACACCCACACTCTTTAGGTTTATCGATGCCAAACGAGTGCAATAATCCACTTAATATGGACTAATACACATCATCTTGTTAATGTTGGTTTTGTATATATTTGACTTTTCTGTTTTTTCTTACTACTTTCCTTTTCTTCTCTGTATATCGTCCGTCGTGAATACTTGTAAAAGACATATGAAATCAATTCCTTTTGTCATATATGATGCGGTCTTCATTATAAAAGATAAATGATTGAATAGATACATATGTCTATTCTATTTGAATATGTGAATCTATTGTTTTCTACTAGCACAACATGGCCAATCTAATCTTCTTATTTCTATCTATTTTAGATTGAATCGTCAAGATTCAATTGTGTTTTATATCCATCGAAAAATGGCAAATATCCATTATAAACAAAACAATCTTCCATATTCAAGACCAGCCAAAGCATGTGAAGGATTTTGATGAAGAAAAAAAAGTTTCATAAACAATCATTCATCCAGAAAAAAAATGTAAA